GATTTCCACAGACTTCGGGAATATATTGGACTGGACCGATTTGACATCTCATTTTTCTTTATTCCGTCGATGAAATGGTTAAACATTTTTATGCACACCTTTTAGGTTTAAGCTCCTCTATTTGAAGTAATTTATTTATAAAAAAAACTTGATATTTTCAGGTATTTTGAAATCGGTCCAGCACACGTAAATCTTAATATATTTCCAAAATATTTAGGTGGATGTCCTAAAAATAATGTAGATTTAATAATTCCGATGGAAAAACAGTACGGATTTTTTATTTTTTTTTTTTTGTATTGAGCGTGATGCACCTTAATGCACATCTTTATATGGAAATATTTCCTTATTGAGCAAAAAAAACAAAAACAAAGTACAATTTTAAACGCTTTTAAATTATCTAAGCTTTTTTATATCAAAAAATCAGAAATTTAGTAAAATACTCGTACAAGCATACTTTGCAACAAAGTTTAATGACATCAAAAAGGTACATGGAAATCAACACGAAATGGGCGGCACAAGCACAACCTACCGCTGCCAAACTAAACACGGTTGGCAAACCAAACAAAATTGTGGAGTTCAAAGGGCAGCCTGCAGGTTATATGCTGCCATTAGCCAGGTGGTGGCGGTGTGGCACGGTCAAGTTACCGAAAAAAAAACCCAAGCAACAAAGCAAATACACGAATGGTAAACGGAAAGAAAAACTAAAGTGCTGGGCAGCTGCAATCGAATTGATTTCATAAACATACAAATGCATTTCTGTGATTAATTTTTGTGTTTTTTATACATTGTCTGTTTTTTTAATTAATATTTTTTCAATCGATTTAAAGTTTGAAATTAAATTTTTTCCCTGATTTTTAATCAATTTTTATGTTTTAATATTTATTTTTTTTTGTTTTTCAATTATGCTTCATTTCATTCGCTTGAGTGAGCCCACTGTGTTCGCTTGATGTCTAATTGAAAAAAAATTCACGCCTCTGCTGCTGAGTTTAGATTGCCCTTCACTTTTTTAGTCACACTTTGATTGAAATTTTCCACTTTTTATTTTCGTATTGTAAGTTCCTCAAAAAATACACTACAATTTATCGCTTGCATTCCAAGATGCATCAGCGTCAACACAACTTTGTCGTTTCGCTAGTCGATTGATTGCTTGCTGTTGCATTGCTGACTTTCTTGGTTGATTGGTAAAGCGGTTGATGGTGCCACAACCAAGTTTATCCTCAGAAAACAAAAAAAAATCGTATTACCGCTAATGCTGTTGTCGCTTGTTTCGCACCATTGGCAATATCGGTAATTCAAAAAAAAAAACGCTCACTTACTGCTCTAAACCGTTGCGACCGCGGCCGCTTTTACACGTTGACTGAAGTTGTTTAGCTACTCGGGCAGACCATCGAGTTCCAAAGATTCTTGCGAAGTAGCAACAGCAATTCAGCAACAATAACAACAACTAGCTGCTACAGTAATAACTTCTAAAAAAGGTAATGCCATAGAAGTCACTTTTTTCAACAATTTACACTTACGCTCACAAGTGCTTTTTTATTTAGTTTTATTGGCTTCAACTGGTTTTTTTTGAATGCATTTATAAATATCAGTTAAATTATTGTTCTTGCGTTGAATGCGAAATTGAGTGCGAATGCACCAGCTATTCCATAAGCTTCCAACGCGTCCTACTGCCTGCTCGACATTGGTTCACTGCCAAAACGTGTTCTCGACACGAAGGTGGACAGCGTATTTAGCGTAAGCTACGACTACTATGCAGATTGCAACGTGACTACAAACAGCTGTTTGTCCTTAACACCGACAGAGAGAGAGAGCGAGAGAGCGTGCTCTCCTTAAAGTAGTTGCGCCAAGTTTGAAAGCAGCCCATGAGTGGGTTACAATGTTGCAGCGTTGCAGCTTATGCTAACTTATGGCCCAACATAAGAGGGTTGCCTTTAGGTTTTTTAAAGACGAAAAACCCTGCTCAAATTTTGTTTTAATATACTAGAATTTAACGGGGCTATGAAACTGCATACAATTTTTTAGACCCTTCAGACTCCTGATTTTTCGCAATCTTTTCGGGACTTAAGAAATTTTGTTCCGGCAATTTTCCGCACTTTTCGAGATTTTTTCGGAACTTGTTAAGGCTCTCCTTAGGGCTTTCCTTATTTTTCGGATACCTTCGACATTTTTAAGGACCTTTCGGGCTTTTTGACAATTTTTCGGGAAATGCCGGAATTTTATTTTGGCCTTTTCGCAAGTTTTTCCACACAATAGGGATTTTTTGGCACCTTCCTTAACGGCCGTTCAGACTCTCGGAATTTTTTCGAGACCCTCTGAAAATTTTTCGGAAGTTTTCGAGATTTTGGCAGCGCCTTTCCACACAATAGGCATTTTTTGGCAGCCTCCTTAACGGGCGTTCAGAATCTTGTTTTTGGGAATTTTTTCGAGACCCTCTGAAAATTTATCGGAACCTTTCGAGATTGTGGAACGATTCGGCACCCTTCGGCCTTCTATCCATGGTTTTAAGAGCCATTAGGGCTTTCTGGATGTATCGGATTTCTTTTCGTGACTTTTCGGAATGTTTCACGATTTTTTTCAGTACTTTTTCGAATTGTGACCTTTAGGAATTTTTTTTGAATAGCCTTCCCTTGTCATATTTAGTTTGGAAACAAACCGGTTTCGGCGTTGTGCCATCTTCGGAATCAGGGATGACGGAAATTTGTTTCAAAAAGACCTTATCACCCTGTTGGAGGAATTAAGCAGCCAAAAAAAAAATCTGGATCTTTAGGTATGTTTCAGGCTCAGCGGTACATTTAAATATTTAACTTCGCTACTAAAAATTTCTTAAAAGCAAAAATTTTCGATTAAAGTTAGTATTTTTCAAAATTGGTTTTTTATAAGTCGAATGATTTACTCGATATGGTCGCTGATTAAAGAGAAAAGTTTTCTCTAAGGCAATTAATACACCATTTTACAATTTGTTTGAACTACTTTTCGAAATAATAGCTTAACCAAAATCAGGCTTTTAAATGCATCAACTGCTTGTTCGGGGGTGAAACCACGCTCAAAACGCATTTTCTTTTTAATTCTTCGACATTTTAATTCTGAAGTAGGTAACTCCGAAACTAGATTTTTGTAGGGGTTTGGCGACTTGTTCCAGTGTATAAAAATGCTCCCTTTGCATTTTTTCTTAAAGTATGAAAACAATCACTGAGATTCAAGTCGAAGAAGAAGGAGAAGAAGAATCTGTGGGAATTGCTGTGATGGAGAAAGATGAACTTACTTCGGCGATTTGTCTTTCTCAATGTATGCTGATCGCAATGACATCCAATGAGGAATTCTTCTACTTTCACAAAACGCGGCTTAAGGAGAACTATGACTACGCTAAACCCTCCATTAAAACATCGATTTACGGTCGCTGAATGTGGTGCTTCATCAGCAATTGTCGAATCAATCTTGCACTGCTCAGTGTTGCCCAGACTTAAGAAGCAACCCTCGCATAGTAGAAACAAGCATACAAACATATGTATATACATAGGTGCATATGAAAGCATTGACGGAGGACCTGTTAACTGCCTGTAAAACTTGTTTGCGCCCATATTGCCAAAGGGAAGTTGGGCAAAAAACAGCTGTGGTGTAAAGTTCAATGTCTCTTTTTTGCCCACCCAATAACAAAAACATACATACTTGTGCCTGCTGCCGAGATTAGTGGCAAATATATGTATATACATATGTATGTATGTCGGACCTTCATGTAAATGGTAACCTTCACGACAATGCTATTATTGTTTTCGACGCTTTAAAAAGAAACTGCAAACTTCATTTTTGAGGACAAACATATAGTTATAAATAGTAAATACAAGCACACATACAAAAATATGTGTTAGCGCATAGCCTCAGGAAATCGCATCTCAGGGCCATAGACCAGCAACTATTGCACCATAATTTTCAATTATGTATGTTTGAACTGGCATTGAACTGAACTGTATTGAAGGATAATGCAATTGTATTTGCGTCATGGCAGTAAATTTGCAAAATTTGTTTCCTGTGAGACTCTATGCAACTCGTCTGGCGAAATAGAGAGCAGCAGGCATGGCATGCTAGCAACAAATTTATTGCCAATGTATTTTTATTACAGGTTATCAAAATTCTGGGGAGTTTCCAGACCAGTGGGAGATATAGTTTTTACTCCGTACACGTTCACATAAAATCTGAAAAAAGCTTACAAAGCTTTTACCTTGAGCTACATTTTGCTCGTGACTATTCGAAACGAGCACACAACTAGGACTGTCAACTCCCAATTACTAAATTCTTTGTTACTCTGGGAAAGATTCATGGCTTGGTCTGAAAAGAAGGCTTGTTTGGCCTGCGCTGTCAAGTGTAGAGCCCTATGCCAGAGAAGAGCCATGTTTTGGCAAACGAGGTTCGAATGGTCTCCTCCTCACCCCAACTGCTTTTACAGAAGTAATTCCAAGGAGCTACCTACGTGTACGCCCATCAAACAATGTACGGTGAAGGCAGCTACTGTAAAACAGATGTCACATATTTGGAGATTGAGGAAAGAGTTTCTTTTTGGAGCACTTAATGACGTCCAAAGATGCCGAATCAATGCACTGAAATTGCAGAGAACGTTCCCTTTTGTGAACGAATTTACAGATTCATGTTTCAGACAAAGTCGTTCTGCTCTGAGCTAATTTGCCAGCTTTATAGTTTGGAATGGAATGGAATGGCCGGTGGCCGGAAAAACTATAAAAAAATATCTCCAAGCAATCAGGCAGTATTGTCTACCACCTAAAGACCTAGAGGGCGGATTTGGAAAATAGGGATATATATATATATGGTACGATCTCCCTGATCCTCTGCAAATGGACCAAACTTTGTGAATTTTAACAGTTTGTCAAGAGAAAGTTTACTTCACTGTTAAGGTGCCTAGGAGCCCATTTAATAGCTGTACGACTTACTTATAAGGAAACACGCTCGAATTTCGGCAATATTTGTAGTCTGACACGTTTTGCTAGAGATCAAATCATGACAGGTTCCGTGCCCGTTGAAGGGGCTATGCCGTCTATGGTGCTTTTCTGCGGTTTTTTCCAATGGATATACAGTAAAGCTCCTAAGGAGGTAGGATGATTCTCAGTTTACTCCCCAAAGGCGTATTAGATAGTGGGAAATCGCAATTCAATTAAAAGGCCTCTGAAGAAATTTCTGATCGGCTGTTCAATCTTAGCCGAGGTGATTTAAGAACTGCCAGGGCTCTGCAATTTAAGCCACCATTTTTAAAAGGTGTCTACTTCTGAACATACTTACTGCTATGAGAAGTGATGGAGAAAAAGCATATATGTACATACATACATAGTACTCGGTTTGTGAGACCCCATGAACGATGTTCAAAAGACTGAAGACCCTTTTTGGCTGGGCGGCCCTTCTTGTGGATCGGGCAGGGCACGCTTAGACTCAGTTATAATTTTTTTTTTCATACAAGAATTCGATCCGGTCCTAAAACTTTCTAAGTCTTCGCATTTTCTGATAGAATTTTCGTTCGCTATTTCTATCGCCAACAGCTCAAAGCTTTTCACGCTCACGTATTTCGCTTCTCCCTTCTTCCTTCGAATATTAGGACCTCTGCCTTGCTCAACTCCCGGTAGCGATCTCATGTGGTTCGCGTTACGGCCGATCACAGCGTCACATTTATGCAGCTAGATTTTATTTTTTTTTATTATTTTTTTTTAAGTGCCTTCTGAGAACAGGAGTAAGAGTTGTGGAGCGAAGTTGCTTGCTGTCTGTTGTGTGTTTCGAGGTATAACTTTTATTGTATTGATGTACTGGGTACATGCCTCTGCAACAAGTCCGAGTCAAGGTTGGGTCTTCGGATTGTGACACGGTCGGCTTAGTTTCTCATTTACTAACGACGACTGTCTTTTAGCTTCATGAATATTTTTATGCTAGAAGCAGGTACTACATACTACCGTGTTTCGGTACGTTGTCGGGTATATCGTCGTTGAAGCTGAAATTTCCGACTGCTGGACTAAAAATAGCTGCGATGGCTAGGCCAGCACCAAACATAATTTCCATGTGACAACAGGAATCCGGCATCGAATTCGTGCTGCTTCACATGGCAGCTGTGGTATAGATATGTCGCAAAGTTTTATGGGCTTTTTCCCTTGTCGCCAAACGGGCAGACTCATCTTCCTCTTTAAGGGATCTATTGCATGGATCGCAGTAAAAATTAGATAGTCGCTCCCATCCGGGACTTGTTTAAACTGTTCATTGGAATATGGTTTTTCTATGCAGCTCCCCAAAATATGAATGCAACTAAATTCTGGGAATGCATTTATCATATATGTAGGTATGTACATACGTATATGAGTATGCAACTGTGTAAATATAAATAACATCGTGTACACACATACATATACATTCATGCATTTTAGTTGGTTTGGAAGGATTTTCCTCTCATTTCAGCTCTCACATCCTGTGAAAATCTCTCTTTGCATTTACTCACTTATTTCGAAAGTTTTACATAGCAGTTAAGAAATAACAGTGAAAACTTCTACGGCAATGGAAACGATGTGTTGG